TAACTCAGAGGAGGCATAGTAAATCTCTAGAACCAACAGAATTATGAAAAACTAGCAGATTCAAGAAATTTTACAGGAGTGCAGTAGGGAAATGCTGGTAATATTCTTCCTATGAACCAACATAAAGACATTAGGAAAGCTGTAGTAGAGGCATGACCTACTGTGTTCAAATTACTGTATTTTTCGGTCTATAAGACGCATACCCCCACCCCAAAAGTGGGTGGAAATGTCTGTGTGTGTTATAGAGCAAATGTTGCTGAAGCCCCACCCATCCTTGGCTTCTGCCTCACAGCAATTTACCTCCTGCAAACAGCCCAGTCAGCTTCAGCACATCCTGATTTAGCATGAGCAGCTGATTGGTGGTTGGATCAGCCTCCCGGAATATTGCTGATCAGCTGTTCCAGGCTCTGGGGATCGCCACCACCTATGGCCACCTCCAGGTGCCCCATTTTAAGCCCGTTCCAGGCAGTGGGGATTGCCACATAAGTCTTTAAAGGTGAAAAACAGCACCTTGAACCTAGAAGCGAACTGGTAACCTATGCAACTCATGGAGCAGAGGCATAATATGCTCTTCTAGGAATACCTATAACTGCTCACACCACCACATTTTGTACCAAAAGGAAATTCTGGATTTTGTTCAAGGATTGCCCCATGTTTGGGACATTACAGTACTCGATTTGGAGGTGACTAGTGTATGAATAACTGAATAGAGCCTCATGATTAAGGAAAGAATGCAACTGGCACACAATACAAAGCTGTGCAAAGATCCTCCTAGCCACAGCAGCTTCCTGCTCTTCAGTCTCCAGATTGTCCATCAAGTCGGTGGGGCATAATACTTAGTAATAACAGTGAAGAACAAAATAAGAGATAATTGTAATTGGACAATTCTGTGTAGCTGGGGTTCTTGAGCCAACATGAAAGGAACTGAAGATTTTTCTGGTGGTCTGATAAGGTTCTGGGGCAACACCTAATCTACTTGCTTGCTTCCAGCACTTCATTTACAATCATTACTTCTAAAAAGGCTTAGAAATTTTATGGAGAATAGCAGATGGACAGAGAAACCAAATATGGATAGGGACCTCTTCCTTTTCTCTGGGTCTATCTTCCTGCCACTAAATTCTATTCACTGGGGTGGGGGGGACCTGCAGCTGCTCCCTGTAGCATAACTGCTGCAAAAAAAAAAAAAAAAAAAACAACACCAAAGCAATGTTGGCAGTTTTCCACTCACCATAGATGGAAGAAGGTGAAGCTGTGACAAAGCTGCTAAGGTGGAACTTTGTCCCAGCACAAGGTTGTTCATTCAAGGCTATAGCTACAAACAGGCAAGACTGTTGCATGCTGGTTCACAGAGCTTTTGTTAGTTCAGGTGTCGGCAACCCACAGCTCCAGAGCTGCATGAGGCTGTTTCATCCCCCTGCTGTGGCTCCCTGTCGGCTGAACCCACCATTTACTGGCCCTGCCCCTCGCAGTAACTCCTCGGCTGCCCTGAGAACGTAAAGGTGATAGTGGGGGGATGGACACTCACTCCATATTCCAGAGTGGGAGCAAAGCACCCCTGTGCCCCATCTTGCGGGCGCTTCTTCCAGCCCTTGTTGGTGCTCCACATACCTCAGTTGCTCAGGAAGACACTGGCTCGGCCCGGCTGCTCTCACAGCACAGTTAAATTTAGTGTGCTTCACAATGCGGGCAACAGCAACCCCTCTTCCTCCTGGAGCCCATTACGATGTGGAGCATCGGCTGCAGCCAGGCTAGTGTCTTAGGGCAGAGAGCTTCTCAGGCCCAGTGAGGAGTGACGGGGAGGGGAGGGGCAGGGGCAGGGCCAACCAGTGGTGGGTTCAGCCGACGGAGCTACAGCAGGGGGACGAAAGAGCTTTATTTATCTGGGAATCTGAAATGACTTTTGATTTAAATCATATGGTAAAAAGCACCCAAAGAAGAACGAATAACATTAGAAAAAAAAATCCAACCCTTATCTGTTTTTGGAAATGGTTCAAGAGAGAACACACACACACACACACACACACACACACACACACACACACACGAAGGAGAGAGAGATGAAAGAGACAGAGAAAAAGACATGAGAGAGAGACAGAAAGAGAGAGACAGGGAGAGGGAAAAAGAAAGGGAGAAGAGACAGGGAAAAAGAGATGAGAGAGAGAAGGATGAGATATGAGAGAGACAAGGGGGGGGGGAGAAAGATGAAAGAGACAGACAGAGAAAGAGACAGGGAGAAAGAGAGAGACACACACAGAGAGATACCTGTTTCCCCACAGAAAAGAAAACACTAGGAGCCACAAAACCTGGGTAGGTGTGGGTGGGTGAGTCATGTGACTGGGTGGGAATGAGTGACATCGAGCCACCCAGGTTTTGTGGCTCCTGGTATTTTCTGTGGGAAATGGGTCCAAATGGCTCTTTGAGTGTTTAAGGTTGCAGACCCCTGGTTTAATTCCACACAATAATGTAAATAGCACTCTGGCTGGAGGTTGTAAATCAAGCAGGAGTATACTTGCAAGTCATAAGACTTGTAATTCCTAAGAAGAAACAGAAGTAAACTGGAAATCCACCAGGTTGCATTCTCCAGTTTCAGAGTGTTTTTACGGAAGTCTGTAAAGATTCTCAGGCATCCAGGTCATGGTTGTCATGTTTTTATGGAAGGTACTTTTATGGAACTAAGACAGAAGGAATGAGCTGCAGCACTGCAATTGAAGTCTCTGTTGGAAGTGCACTGGAAGAGAAATCTTGCATTGGTTCTAGTTTTGCCTTTAGGGCAAAAGGTTTAGGAGTTGACTGAGATGCTGAGTGATGATGTGTGAATATATACAGTATAGAAAGTTTCTTCCTTGGAGAACTCTACAGACAACCACTTCAAAAGTTGGTCTGTATTTTTATAGTTCTTTTAAGGGCACAGAACCACAGTGCCCAACATCTCTCATTCTTCGTCAGATTGGCCGAGACTGTCGTAAGTTGCAGTTTAGTAATTTCTGGAGGCCCACAAATTGCCGATTAAAATTTAATTATTGAAGATAACCAACTTATGTATCAAAGTATAAAAAAACTTTGATAGTGCAGCCTTTCGACGAATGAACTAGTTTTAACGTGGCATTTATGATTATTTGAGTTTGAGATCCCTGTTCTAAAGAGTCAAGAATGGTAGCTGTTGAATTGTTGGAACTCAAATGTTTTGAAAATATCTGGTACAAAATATCTGAAATGTCCATCAACGTCTAACGGTAACAACAGCTGTTTAGTGTTTGAAAATAGTCCTTGCTTAACAACCCTAATTGGAAATGGCAACTCCATCACTAAGTGACATGGTTGTTAAGCCAGACCTCACATGATCACAACTTGTGATTTTACTGCCAGCTTCTCCTTGACTCTGCTTGTCAGAAGCCAACTGTGAAGGGAGCAAATGATGATAATGTGACTATGGGATGCTTGTATGATTGTAAATGCCTGCTGGTTCCTGAATCTTGATCACATGACCACAGGGATGCTGTGAAAGTTGTAACTGCAAGGATCAGTTGTAAAGTTATTTTTCAGCACTGTCATAACTTTGGGTGTTAAACAGTTATAAGTGACAGCTATCTACAGCATTTTCTAGCCTTTATGTCCCGATTAGGAGAAATTTTAAGCAAACATTTTTCATTTAAAAAAGAAACATTTTTGAATCTAAAGTTTCAAAAGAGAAGTGTATCCCAAGGCATATAATTCAAATAGACAGAAATTTGTTACAGTTTTTCTGAAGTCTTATTCTTTGTATATCTGCGGACTGAAGAGACTTAGGGGTGTTAAAATGAATGTTAAAGTACAGGGTGTGAAAGAGCATATGTTTCCTATGCAAAAGTATAGCTTTAAATAAATGTTTAGTTTGAAAATGATTGAAAGTAGAACTGCTGATACAAAAATGTCCTTACACAAATTTGTGATGAGATTATATTTTTTGTGTATAGCTCTGACCATTGCATCTTTAAAAGGCTATCATAGCACTAGAAAACAATGGAAAGAAGAAGCAACCAGATGATTAGATGTCTGGAGCAAATCGTCTATGGAGTTAGGCTACAGTAATTGTGGGTTTTGGATGGGAATGAAGATGGATAAGGGAGATAGTGACTGAGGTTTATACAACCACATAGGACATGCTTAAGCTTGAGAGAGGTAGTGTTAGAATCCAAGGTCATCTACTGAACTAAATGCAGATAGATAAAGAGATAAACAATAATGGAGCCAATAATGACTCCATGTGTAACAGTGAACATACCCCTGCATGAGTATTACCTTTTTGTGGGTGGTGTTTCTTTTGTTCAAACTGACTATGAAGTGAAGCATGTGCAAAAAGTGCCTGTAAGAGATAGAAAACCAAGAGATCACAGTAATTCACTAATAAATAGAAGAGTTGAGTTGTTGTAACATTTTGTTGTGCCATAGCCAATTAAGAATTCTTGTCTCATGATGTGTAACTGTCATGATTTTACATGACGTATTACCTTGTAAAGTTTTTCTACTGTAAACTGTATCAATTGAACACTAAAAGTGATTGGGATTAGTACATGATGTAAATATAAATATTAATAATAATACTATGATTTTGAAAATGTGTGGGCTGAAACTTACTATTCTGCAATGAAATAGAAAAAAGGAATAAATAATTAGTATCTTAAGTAAAGATTCATATATTTTACATTAATACCCTACTGGATTTGTGATTCAGAACAACTTGTCAAACCTTAAACACAAAATTTAGCAGAAAACTCTTTCATCCATAAGCAGTTCTATGTCATAGGCTCAGGCTATTCATAATATTTTATTGTATCTTACAGTACTTGTTTTATTTAAAAGGGAATCTTTTACAATTTTGACTTTGTAGTTAAATTAATTCTATGCAAATACTCATATCTGTAGTTTCTGAATGTTTATCTAAATGCACTAATCTATTATATTTTTAAAATTAAGCAATTTGGAAAATTGATCAATAATATGTTGTTATTATTTCTTGTTAGCTGTCAAGTGCAAATCCGGTATATGAAAAATATTATCGTCAGGTAAGTGTGAGCTTGTTTTCTTTGCTTTTAATTTAAAATAAAATAATTTCTCATTTGTTTGTTATGGTTAAATTTCTTAAATAGACTAAAATGAACCACTTTTGTAGTTTATAGAGTAAAATAAGCATTTTAAGTATGCTAAAAGTTAATTTTATATCTTAGCACCAATTAAAACATTATCATTGCTGAAAAGATTTGTTTGTATACAAAGTTTATCAGTACTAATGGTACTTTATGCCCCCATGCCTAAAGAGATTTTTTGGGATAAATATGCAAGAAAGATCTATTGCTTTGAGAATTATGCCGTTTAAATGAAACAGTGTAAGCATTTAATTACAGTGAGTATAATGTGTAGAAATGTGTAGGTCTATAAAATCACAGAGAATATTGATAATTATTTGAAAACTAGTTTGTGCAGTGAGTCTATTCATATCCTTCTGCTTGCAGACTCTGCTGTATGCTTCAATTTTATTGGCCCTTTCTCTGAACTTTAGAGCAAAGCACAAAGTTACCCTTTTCCCTTCCCTTCCCTTCCCTTGACTTTTTCATTTGATTTCTTTACCACCCTAGTCCAAGGGATTTTAGGTACTGTACATACAATTATAATTAAAACAGTTACAAATAATGCTTCAGAATAATACAAAGTTCAACAAAATTGATATTCTGCAAGTTTCTGTGTGGCTCATTTGGAGTCTGGAAGACAGTACTGGAAATCAAACTGATAGAAGTTAGTAGCTTTCAAAATACCAGCTTTCTATTTTTTTTTATTATTTTAAGAAATGAGGCAGGAAGCTGGAACATATTAAGGTAGGTGACCTACGAGTTCAAACTGAGACCTCAGCCTTAAGAATTATATCAATTTCATCTATGGAGATTATATAGATACTAGAATGTGAGGCATCTTGAAATCGAAAACTGTCTTGGAAGTGAGGGTTCCTTGCTGATGAGCTTGATTGTTTCTAGTACATATGATGTTACAGAGTTTGGGAAATGAAACATCTACAAGAAAACAACCAATGTATATTTAGTATATTGACTCTAGAGCCTGTAAAGCTTTAGAAGCAATTATAACATCTGGGAGCTGGATAGATGTGTTGAACATTTATTTGCTAAAAGTTATCATAGACGTAACTTTTGGTAACTATATATGTATAATGCTAAGATTACAAGATACAGTATATATCCATGATGGCGAATCTAAGGCACGCGTGCTGGAAGCGGCACGCAAAGCCATCTCTCCGGGCACGCAAGCCATCGCCCGTTGCTCTTTCGGGTTCCGGCATGCCTGCCAGCTGCTCTTCACGCACACGGGAAGAGCAGGGAAGAGCAGCTGCCCGGTGTACATGTGTGCACCGGGAAGATGATCTTCTGGTTCTGTCTTTGTGCGCACATGCATGCCAGAAGCTGTAAGACCAGATAGCTGGTGCGCATGTGCATGCCAGAAACTGGAAGATCATTTTCCTGGGGCATGCATGCACATCAGGGGACTGCTCTTCCGGTTTCTGACACGTGCATGCATGCACGCTCCCGTTTTGGCACTAAGTGCCGAAAAGGTTCGCCAACGCTGGTATATATGGTTCTACAGTATTATGTATGCAACATGATTAAATATTCCATAATTCTTTACTCTATTATCTGAGCTAATAAAGTTTTGTTAAAACCATATATTTTAAAGAATTGCTTGTTTTAATCAGTTGTATGGCCTGTTTTGGCAGGTTGATCCTAGTAATTCTGGAAGAGTGTTGGCTTCTGATGCAGCTGTCTTTTTGAAACAATCAGGACTAACAGATTTGATACTTGGAAAGGTATTGATATGTTCAGATAAGGGTATAATCATCTATCTTGGCTTTATAAAAATAAAAATTGTGACTTGCAGAAGATTTTACATTTTATAGATTTCATTGTTATTATAATTCTTGCTGGTATTATCTTATGCTGGTTTACAACTAAAATAAAGATTGATCCCGCATATACTGCTATCCTGTTACCAATTTTTTTAATGTTACATAGACGTTATAGCTTCATTTCATTAATCAGTGGAATATAATTTTGATAGATAGATAGATAGATAGATAGATGGATGGATGGATGGATGGATGGATGGATGATAGATAGATAGATAGATAGATAGATAGATAGATAGATAGATNAAAAAAAATCTGGGTCCCCATTTTACAGACCTCAGAAGGATGGAAGGCCAAGTCAACCTTGAGCTGACGAGAATCGAACTGCTGGCAGCAGAAGAAGCCTGCAGTACTGCATCATAACTACTGTGCCACCATGGCTTGGGTTAGAAAGAGTAGTACCATACTAGCAGTTGGACTCAAGATTGCAGGTTTCTAGTGATCTTGGGCAGAGTACGGATAACCCTTGCTTAACAATCATAGTTGGAACCAGCAGCTTGATCCATGAAGACGTCACATCATGTTGATGGACTTATGACCTAACTTCCTCCGCAATCATTAAATGAATCACCCCTTGAGCAACCCCTGGTTGTTAAGCAAGACATCACGTGATCAAGACTTGTGATTTTACTGCTGGTTTGTCAATTGATTGTCCGAAGCTGGCTGTGAAGCATGTAAATGGTGATCACATGGTGGTCAGCTGTTGTGACAGTTAAGAATGCCTGCAAATTGCAAAGTGCTGAAATCTTGATGACATGACTATTGGAACACTGCAACATAAAATTATTTTTTCAGTGAAGACCATAACATTACTTTTTCAGTGCCATTGTAACATCAAGCAATTGCTGGATAGTTGTTAAGTGAATGTAGCTTAGTGTAAAGAGAAAGTTGTTGACAGTTGTTTATTCTTTGCTTTCCCCTTCGGTAGCTGATCTCTAAATCATTAAGAATTTTTAAGGCTATGCATTAACAGGACAGTCAGTTTGGTGCAGTGGTTAAGGCATGAGACTAGAAACCAGGAGACTATGAGTTCTAATCTCATTTTAGCCATAAAACCTGTTGTGTGTCTTTGGGCCATTCAGTCTCACACAGCCCTAGGAAGGAGAAGTTGGCAAATTATTTCTAAAAAAACCTTGCCAAGAAAACTGCAGGGATTTGTCCAGGTAGATGCCTGGAGTCAAGATTGACTCAAAGGATTCATCCTCCAAATGCATTATTTAGGAAATACTATTTTTGTGTCTTAAAATTATATATTTCTCCCCCAACCATAAAATGAAATTTTCTATTGATGTATCTAATAAAGATTTTGTTGATACACTATATAGTCTATATAGAGCCGAGGTGGCGCAGTGGTTAGGGTGCAGTACTGCAGGCCACTTCAGCTGACTGTTATCTGCAGTTCAGCGATTCTAATCTCACCGGCTCAAGGTTGACTCAGCCTTCCATCCTTCCGAGGTGGGTGAAATGACCCAAACTGTGGGGGCGATATGCTGACTCTGTAAACCGCTTAAAGAGGGCTGAAAGCCCTATGAAGCGGGATATAAGTTGAACTGCTATTGCTACTGCTATTTCTCTTTTTCAAGTCCTCCTGCCTTTCAGAAAAGGGGAGG